AATCAAAAATTTTGAATTCTTCACTCGCTGAGATAGTAAATATTCGTCGCAAGAGGACTATGACGTTCTTAGTGCTTTGCAAATTGATAGCTAAGACAACAATACAGATCTTAGCGAGAAACGTGGATACTAACGATGTTAAGCATACTGCGTTCGCACATAATTTGAAATGAGCAAATGTCGTCCTTAACTGTTTCTCATCGAACCGAACATATGCAGTCTCAGTTCGTTAAGCGAGGACAGCAATTTCGATCGATCCTTTAAAAACCTACTCACTGACTTTCCAATCTGTTATTTTACACATCGGAGGAAAAAACTGCATTTCAAAAAGTTTCACGTATGTTTAACATGTATATGTATAACATCCATCCGAGCACTTGTTGCCCCAATTTGATCACCAACGATCCCAATAGAGTCAAGACATCGATTCACTCTGACTGACTTTTGACACGAAGTTAAGAGGGCTTAACTTTACCAACTGCTATTGAGATGTTTTATAATTAAAATGTGCTCCACCAATAGACGAAGTGTGAAATAAGCATTCTTTCATGTATAGTCTACTATGTGTAACAAGGGTTTATCGAATTTAATTCGACGCCTTGTGTCGTATATAATAGAGGCTTCAACGGCCTACTACTATATAAGAAAAATAAAATTATATTTGGCAATAATCGAAAATTTTATGCCCATCACTCACCATGTTTTTCAAGAAAAAAGAAAAAAAAAAACACTTTTTTTCCACTTTTGTTCAAACACCCTACGATTCCGTGTAAAATGTAAATGGGTATTTATATTATTGTATATGAATTTTTGATACTGGACAGACAGACATGCATACATGAAATGAGTTCACGCTAGGTTTCTTAAACGTTTTAACGAAATGAATGTATCCTCATTCAAAAACGGAATCTTCCAATAATGTTGATCCTCTTTCAATCGAAATGGCACAAAAAGAATTCACAGACCTTAGCTGAGAGGACGATTGAATGCCAGAAAATTGTTTAGAGATGAAATCGCTTAAAAAAATTGGTAATAAATTTGTTATTGTTCTCTTCAAGCATGCTTTTTCATGCGTATGCAAATGTGTGTGTGTTGTTGCCGTTTTACTATAAATTAAACTTTAAGTTCACAGGGCAATGTTTTTTATTCCTTTTCTATTTATTTATTTATTTATTTATTTTTTTATTTTTTTTCAACTTTGTAATCGTGTAAAAGTATCCGTCTGGTCTCTTGTGCATGAAAATAGACTACTTTTGCCGTTCCTCTGACCTCGCTCGCTCGCTCGCTCATTCAAGCCATTTATATATATATATATATATATATATATATGTTTGTCTCACTTAATTATAAAGAATAATTATAATATAAATTATGCAATTTTGTATTATTTTTGGCATTTTATGTAATATACTTTTTGGCTTTTGTGGTTTCTCGAATTTCAGTTCAGTTCAGTTCAGTTTCTAGATGAAATTATGTTGACTTACATGGATGCATGTGCGCGTAAGTGTATATATGCTCGAGCGAGTAGGTTTTGTGGTTACTTAGTGTAATGACGTACGTACTCTGTTATCTCTATTATAACAACTGAATGCAATGTGAAGATTTAAACTCTACTCTATCAGAATCTCTCTTTATTTCTTTAAACGAAGGCTTTCTTCACACATTTTTGTTATTACATGCATTCTTCAATATATCATGCAGAACTTATGATTAGTTATTTATGTTTGAAACCGACATTACCCGAAATTATAGTTATCATGATTAATGGCCCGGAGGGAAAATGAGAAATTTCTATCTATAATCTTTGAAAGAAGCATTATTTTCGCATGGCCTGACATACTTAGACTGACACTGCACTGGATGTTGCGAATCAAATTATTCTCGATTTAGAAATGAATCTTACGCACCATGAATCCATGGATGTAATTAAAGAAGGAAAAAAAAAAAAAAAAAAAAAATATTTCTTCTTTGGTCTATCACAAGCCTGACATATATAAAATTTATTTTATAATTCATGAAAATGTTCGACAAACACTGCCATATGTTAGAAACTCTTAAAAGATTTACCCTTAACATCTCCGATATCCTTCGTTAGTGATTTAATATATTTACCAGAATCGTATACACCAGACTGTTATTTCATTTTCTATTAAAACTCATTCGTTCGTTCAGTTCAAGTTTCGAATTAACGCGGAAGTGCAACAACGATAGTAAACTGTGACCTTTTCTTTAAAACAAAAATGGGGGGGGGAGAGAAGAACAAAACGGGAAAAAAGATGAAGAAAAACAAGCGCAAAGAATTACTTCCACTTGGTCACTTTAATAATCACATAAACAGTTCATAAGCACAACACGGAGAATAGCTGTCGCTACTATTATGATCGTAATTAAATATTTATTAACAGTGATGAGAGAGAGAGTGAAGTGATGTTGAAAGGAAGAAATAAAAAACGAAAATGTTACATTAACACACATAAACAGAACTGAGTGCATTTTTATTTAACGTGTTTTGTCATGTTTTATTAAAGTCTACCTCTGCTTCTTGTGTTTTCTTCTTTTTTAAATGCTTCCCACTTCTCTTGGCTTCGACTTTTCTAGCACTAGTACTTCTAGCATCATTTATCTGTTTTGCCTGGCGTTTTATAAAGTTTTTACTTATTTATGATTTATATATATATATATATATATATATATATATATGCATAAACTGATGCGTGTATGGGTTATATGTTGTGGTTCTAATACCAAGCAAGCAAGCAATGCATGCATGTATGCATGTATGCATGTTATGTTCCGTATGTTGCCTCAAACTTGATGTTTATGTTTAATTTTCGCTTTTGATAATGACGCCAACATGTACACTTACATGTACATGTACATGTACATATATACATATATACATGTATAACGTTCGTCACCATCCTCATCATAATCAACGTCATCATCATCGTCATCATTGTGTACACAGTCATCAGTTGTTTGTCTCTCACTTCCGTCTTTTCGCTTAGTTTAATATACATACATATATACATATATATATATATATATATATATATATACATATATTTTTCTTTTAATCGGTATATGCATGTTTACTTTGTTGTTGCTGTTTTCAGTTTAATAGTTAAAACTACAATAAAACAGAAACATAGGCAGGAGTGCATATGCAGTAAGCAATTGTGCCGTTATGTTTATGTGTCATTATTGCTTATAAAAAATTTAACATATGTACCCTTTTTTAGCACAATACGAATAAAAGAAAGAGAGAGTGCGATAGAAGTTTGTCTTAGTATGGCTTGGTTTAAAGGCAATTTCCTTTTCTTAAAGTTTGTATTACGTAAAATTACTTTTGCTATGCTTTGAAAATTATGACGTTGAACTCTTGATATACTTCTTATCTTTTTATACCGACCACCACGCAAAGGTGAAGCAGATACACTTGTTTAGTCAAGAGGCTTGCAACACCTCCGAAGAAAACTTCAAAAAAACACTCAAGTGTATTCCGTCTGTCCATCTGTCCGCGTGCATACTGTCCATCGAAGGACTAGACGACTACAATACTTCAAAAATTGAGAGCAAGGATACCCCTGCAACGCTCGCACGCCTATTCCACAAGAACTGGGAACAAACAACTTTCTTTTCGGTGTTGGTTGTTCGTTACTCGTAAACTACAAAACACAGACAAGACAAATTTCCACCATGATTCTGCAAAACTGGAAAAAGTCAGCCACTCCCATCAAATGTTATATAAAATGATGAAAATTTAATTTCTTTCTTTATTTTTAGTTTTTTTTTTTTTTAACATGACGGCGATGGGTATAAGAGATGCGGTCACAGCCGAATATAATTTTGTTAGGAACTTTTGCTCGCAGTTAAAAATACTAGCGATGGAATTCATGAATGTGTGCTTTCGAGCATTATGCGATTATTGTTTACATATAATAAACGAATAAGAAATTTATGTTGCGGTGAACCTAGCGCAACTACTACCCGAAGTTAATACATAAGAGATCATAAGGTGTCGATCAATAGGCCAAAAAGTGCGATTTATGCCTCGACGAATTTAATGGGCTTGGAATAGATTAGGCTAGATTAAGTGAAGCGGTGATGACAGCTCGCATAACGAACAAGGATCCTTCTTGTTATCCATTTTTGGGCGGTTTAAAGTTTTCCTAGTGCCTCTAAACGACTAAGCTAAGCTGAGCGATGATGGTATGGTGGTCGGCTTACTTTACATAAACAATTCAGATTCGCTAATGAGTCGGTGTCTATCTGTAGTCTCAGTACAGGAAATTCGACTCGTTGATAAGTGCTTTCCTTGTGGCCAGATCTGTTCTTGGCGTCAGAACGGCACGAGACGAGCATAAATAGTTGTATGACTTGCTTTCACTCAAGTTTTGAAAACTTCTACACACAAGTTAACGAGACATAGGCTAGTGTTTTGTTGCCCGAATGTTGGCCGATATTCTGTACCTAATTCAATCCATGAGAAATCAGATTCTTTAATAACAGCCACTTATCGTAAGAAAAAAAAAAAAAAAAATTTCATTGGACGTATCTAAGAAGAGGGAAGCTTCCAGCAGTTCCTGGAAATGTCAAAATGGTTCTTCTTCTTTACTAGGGGCACATTGTCAAATATCGCAAGCACAGTAGCTTGGCTTGCTGATCGTGTTTAGATTGAAGCAGCTGCAGCTATTGCTGAGTCCAGCTATTGCTGCTTATGTTATTTGAAATGCAGAAGACAGTGTTTCTGGTAGAGTGCATATAAATGCCGTATGGCGACGCAGAATTTTGGGCCAACTACAGCTTAGAGCTAAACTTTCCGTTCATAATATCTTTCTATGAAATCATTTCTTTTTAAAAAAAAAACATTTTTTTGTCGAAAATTAAAAAAAGTTATTTAACAGATTTTTAACCTTATTTGTGCACTTTTTTCATTGTCCTTTTTTTAAATTTCAAAATTTCAAATATACGTAAACAATTATTGTTGCCTTACTTACCTTGAACTCAACAAACGCTCCGCTTCATCAGCTGTCATGGCGTCTGGTAAACTGTCATCGCGATTTATGGGCTCAGAAGTTGGGGCTGTTGTTTGTGACGTTATTAAACTACTACTCTTAACTTCAGCCGTCTCGTATAAATCTTCAGTTAAAGCGATCGCATCTCCTTCGATAGTTCGCACAAGTTCATCCTCATCTTCGCCGGCACTTGTGTCAGCATATTCCAAGTCTTGTAAATCCAAAGCTAATTGTGGAGGAGGTCGTTCAGGTAGAGCCGGTATATCACCTGTTTCGAAATCTTCGTTTACATCTAGAGAAGCGATGGGAGCGACGCCTTTAGTTACTGAGCTTACTGAACGCGAATTTGACGAGGAGTTTGCATTGCTGCCCAATGACGCGGGAGACATCGGTGGTGTAGATTTTACACTAATCTCTGAGCTGCGACGACGTATAGGTGAAACGACGCCTACAGGCGGCGATGAGGCACTTTTAACGGGGGAACCCATTAAAGAATTTGCGCCAGAATTTGATTTTATAGGCGACATAACGGTTGTCCGTTCTTTATCCAAATTTTTACCTCCATAGTAGAGCTCAGTTGAAGGCAGTATATCGGGTTTAATTATGGCATAAACAGTGGTTGTCTCCTGAGCAAAACCATTGGCATGAAATTTCTTATGCATATCAGTTATCTTGGTTGCAGTATCATATAGCTCGGTTTCACCGTACACCTCTCGCGACTCACTGCCGTCGGGATTTAAACGATAGCCAACATCGACGTAATTCAAACTTGGTTTCTCCATCTCGTCAAGAACAACCGAATTGAGATCAAAATGTTTCGCTGCTTTAGTGGGACTTTGAGATAAACGCGCTTGTTGCAGAGGTTGAATATTTGAATTCTCATAATCATAGGCAGGCATTAGTTTAGCTTTAATTTCTGGCGAGGGCTCATTAAAACCGCCCTCATCGGTGCTGGCGTTACTTGTATTATTGCTACTGTAGGAAATTATACTTGGTGGCCGATTGCCTAGACCGGCTGCGGGCATATTTATTGAAATGCTAGAAATACGTCTGGAAGAGCGTTGTGGTGATGTGACCTGCTTATGATTTTCTCCGGCATTGTCTGTAACATCCTGCTGATGATGATGCTGCTGCTGCTGCTGCTGCTGCTGTGAACGTTCTGAGCTTTTATTAGAGCGTCCTAAAAGTAGACAACACGAAAATAAAAAAAAAAATCGGTTACAGAACAAAGCTGCTTTCATTTAATGAATGGAAAAGAATTTTTTTTTTTTTTTAATTTCATATCTTTTTTTTTTTTTTTTTTTTTGTCATAAATACCTCACATTTTAAAATTTATCCATGGTCTAACAGTCAAAATTTGTATATCAAAATTTTAAAAAATATTTTCCTTTTGACAAAATTATTAATAATAATAAAGAATATTTTATAAATATATAACTACAACTAAGAGGAGAGATTTACATCAAAATTTGGAATCATGTTAAAAGCAGATTTCGATGGCGAGCTAACAGCCGATTTTCTATTTCTTTTGGATTTATGCCGGAATCCAGACGAGGTATTTCACACTGGTTCACCCGAACACAAATTAGCTAAGGCATGGATTGATTTTTTGTGCACTTACACATGTCAAACGGTAGCTGAACGACGTCTTAAAAATGTGTACCTCAGTCATTTATGTACTGCTCTCGTAGAGGGTAAATTGTACGGACCGTTTGTAAAAGCACCGGGAAAGGACAAATTGGAAATGGTTGACTTTAAAAAACCTAGCAGTGTAATCGAACCAACGAAATCATGTCCACCTGGCACGCCCTGTCATCTTTGTAGTCCACAACCCCCTCATTGCGTTGCTGCTGGTCAAGTTGCTCAGCAATCGACATCGGCGGCGCCTGCAATAGCAGCATCAGCGCCAACAACAGCGGTGGTAGCAGTAAATGCTGCATCTGGATCTACCCAACAGGCTCTCGCAGTTCCTTCTGCTGTTCAACAAGCCGCAGCGCAACAAACTTGCATAGCATACGCCCCTGTTTGCATACCTTGTCCTGCTAGCATGTATACAGGGCAATCATCCACGCCCATGGCACAAGTCTGTACTGCTCATCAATGTCCTGGAGCTCAAGCTCAAGCTCAAGGTCAAGGTCAAGCTTCTCCTGCTTTGGCGTGTGCCCTGCAAACTCTTCAAACACCTTCCGCGCAAATTGCATCTGCGCAAGCTACCCCTGGCCAACTTTACTCGCCACCTCAACCGCTTTTGTCGCCCTACACTGCTGCTCAAGTGTGCATTGCTAGCTCACCATACGGGGCTGCAAAATTAGGTAAATAATAGCTATTCATTATATATAAGTATATATAGTATTAACCATCCATACATTATGATCTGATCTGCTTTGCAGACAGTGTCTACCCAAGCGGAATAACTACAAATTGCGCTTGTGTACAACGTCCTTGCACATGTGGTGGTCGTTCAACTGGTGGTTCGGACCAACGTTCCAAAGCAGAGGACGACATTACATGCACCTATTTGATAAAGGAGTTAAATTTCACACCTCACTTCCTAAAGGAATTCGATGACACTCTTACATCGTTTATGAAAATCTGCAGTCAGTCAAGTGGAATTGAAAACCAAACCATCGCCGAAGCAACAAAATCATCAAATCAATTAAAGGGGGAGGAAACTATTGCCCCATCAATAAGCTGTCCACATCACTCGGAAATTAATTTTGCGGACGATGCTATCAGTCACTCCTCCTCTCAAATAAGTAGCGAGGAAGTCGAAGAATTAAGTACGAATATCAGCGATTTACTAAATGCCATCTCTGCCGAGTTGCGCGGCGACATAAATCCAGGTTCTAACGAATTCCTCGAAACTGAACTGGGACGCTACAAAGCATTTCTAAACAAGCATCATGTACACATTACGCGTCATATGGGTAAACTAAAGCCGGATTCCAAATTACGCAATTTCTTACTATTGAGTTTGCAAAACGACTTGATTAAGTTGCTGAATGAAAACAATCACATAAAAATATGAAACAAAAAAAAAAAAAAATAAAAAAAATAAAAGGTAAAAGAGAGACGAAATAGCAAAAAGACGAACCCAAAACAATAAACATGGAATAAATCAATAATAAAATAATAAAAAAAACGAATACTTTCTTGGAAAACTCTTGACGTATTTGTTACAAAATATATGATAAGACGATAAAAATGCGGATAT